GGAAAGTTTTGGGGAGCCTGGTTGCCTCTAGGGCAGATCCAGGAAGCCATTTTGGGGTGGGCAGGGGTACCATTGAGTGTTCTGAGGACCACCACCAGGGATTTGGCAGCCGATGGGACTTTGGGAATGATCCAAAGCGAGGTCACATCAGACCCGGGAAGTGAGCTCTGACCGGGAGTCAAATCAGGGCCTCTCCATGCTCCGGCCCGGCTAAATGGTCTCATTTTAATTCACAAAACGACCTGACCTGCGTTCTCCCAGCTCATCTCCTAGCGCGGCTCCGGATCCCTTCACTCTCAGCGCACCAGACTGGGCAGGGCCCCCACCCGCCGTGACCTCTCACCCTCCCGCCCCTCTGCCCGGGGCACGCCCCCCTCATCCCTCTGAAGACCCGCCTTCTCCAGAGCCAGCAGAGGTAGTTCTCCTTCCGGGAAGCTTTCCTTGATCCCTGCAGGCGGGTCCGGGGTCTCCAGTGTTTGGAGTGAGTCCGTGAATGTCAAACACCGGAGTCAGACAACCACCAGGCGTGGAACATGCCCCGTGCGTGTACAACCTCTTTGATAACAACGTTTTCCCTTCCAGCCTGGAGAAGAACGGAGGGCCCTGCGTAAACACCATCTTCAGAAAAGGTAACTGATCTTTTTTCCCTCCCAGCCCCTCCCGGCCCCGACTCTGACCCTGCGTTCCACTGATGGCTTCCCATGTGGGCGCCGGGAACGCTGTACGCCTGACCTATCTCCCATGGATAAGCCAGGGTTACACTTTTCTTTTAATATATTTTCATTGATTTCAGAGAGAAAAGGAGAGGGAGAGGGAGATAGAAACATCCATGATGAGAGAGAATCACTGACTGGCTGCCTCCTGCAGGCCCCACACTGGGGATCAGCCCCAAACCCCCCCCACCCACCCCCCGTATGTGCCCTGACCGGGAATCGAACCCTGATGTCCTGGCTCATGTAGGTCAATGCTCAACCCCTGAGCCACATGGCCGGGCTTTCCCGTTAAGGCCTTCCTTCCCCACACCCTGGCAGACACTCCTGTCTCCCTCCGTCCTTCCTCACAAGCCATGCTCAGGGCTGCTCAGGGCTGTGTCGTCACTGACACGACCAGCTCCGCCCCTGCTGTTCTGTGCGTGTGCGCCTGGCCTGTGAGTTCACAGACCACCGTCCTCACTCCGTGCGGTGTCACACACGGGAGCCGACGCCCCTGAGATCCCAGGGCAGCCCTCACACCGAGGAGGGGGAAATGGCTGCTGGCCCCACGCGCGGGCTCAGAGCTGTGTGTGTGCTGGGGGAGGCCCGCTGCGGGCTGCTCAGCACAGCGCCCGGGGGAGGGCACGGCGGACCGCTCAGAGTCAGGGCGCCCCATCACAAACCGAGGGGGAGGAGGGGGGAGCGAGCCAAAGGAGGAGAGCCTCACTGACTCTGCTGGAGGGAAGCGAGGTGTGGACATGTGGGAGGCGATGTGTCTGCCTGGCGTGCGGGCAGGAGTCTGGTGCTGGCACAGCTCCACATCAGCCTCATCCTGCTTCCCTTAGCACCGATGTCCCACAGCTGTGTGCGGCCAGGTCTGCAGGGCTCCTGCAGGCCTGTGGTCACGGGAGAACAGAGAGGGGCCGTGGAGAAGGTGGCGATAAACGTCATCCCGTGGGAAGGCCATTGCGTGGAGAGAACGCCCTTTGCCCTTTCTTTCAGTGTTAAAATGTCCCTTCTTCCACCATGGGCTTCTTATTTAAGACAGTTGGCGTGTGTTCTCTGATGAGTGCCAGCTGGGCACAGTAAAAGTCGGCAACCACATGCCTGGCTGCCCAGAGGCCTGCTGGTGCCATGGAGGCGGGGGTGCCGGCCGCTCCCTCGGTGTGCTGGGCGGGAGGAGCAGCGGGCGCGGGGTGTGCTGGGCGGGAGGAGCAGCGGGCGCGGGGGTGTGCTGGGCGGGAGGAGCAGCGGGCACAGGGGTGTGCTGGGCGGGAGGAGCAGAGGGCGCGGGGCTGTGCTGGGCGGGAGGAGCAGCGGGCAGGGGGTGTGCGGGGCGGGAGGAGCAGAGGCCCAGGGCGGGGGCGGGCGGTGACGGTGCTCTGCTCCCAGGGGACCACCGGAGGAAGCTGAGGCCGAAGATCCAGCCTCGAGACTCGCTGACGCTGCTGCCGCCCGTGACGAACTTCATCGGGCTCCTCACGGCCACCAAGAAGTCCGCCGTGTCCCACAACATCTTCTTCGCGGCCGCCACGTCCGCGGACGTCATCCAGGTGTCCCGGCCGCGGATCGTGCTGCTGAGCGAGCTGGGCAAGCGCTCGCAGAAGGTCACCTTCGAGCCGGCGGAAGGCCAATAAACCGCCTCAGCGCCGTGCCCGCGGGCCTGAGCAGCTTCCGAGAGCGTGTGCTTTTATTTTGTGGTTATATGTGCACTGATGTCAGAGAGGGAGAGGGACAGAGATAGAAACATCTATGCTGAGAATCACGGACCGGCTGCCTCCAGTACGCCCCACGCTGGGCATGGAGCCCGCAACCAGGCCTGTGCCCTTGACCGGAATCAAAGTTGGGACCCTTCAGTCCGCAGGCCGACACTCTATCCACTGAGCACACCAGCCACGGCTAAGTGTTTTATTTTTAATTGTGGTAAAATGCATATAACGAAGTTGTGTCATTTTTTTTTAATGGATGTATGTTTTTTTACAGAGAGGAAGGGAGAGGAATAGAGAGCTAGAAATATCAATGAGAGAGAAACATCCCTCAGCTGCCTCCTGCACACCTACTACTGGGGATGTGCCTGCAACCAAGGTACATGCCCTTGACAGGAATCGAACCTGGGACCCTTCAGTCTGCAGACCGACGCTCCATCCACTGAACCAAACCGGTTTCAGCTGTCATCTTTTTTAACGGGGGGAGGGGAGGGTCCTGATGTGGATACTTAGCAGATCGCCCTCGGTCTGCCTCCTGGGGTTAAACCAGGTCAGATTCCGATCTCAACAGATGAGCAGAAGTTTCTGGAAGGGAAGGCCTGGCTGACACCACCGGGCAGAGCAGCCGGCCGGCGGCCCCGTCGGTGCCTGGGTCACGTGCGGTAAATACCAGTGAAGTGCGAGCTGCCCGGAGGGGACAGGCCGGGTCAGGGCGGCCGCAGGGAGCCTATCGCTCAGGTACCGCCCGGCGGCATCTGGTGATCAATTCTGCAAATGCAGAGGCTTCTCGCACCTGAAACGTGTCCCTTCGACACATTTCATTTAAAAAGAAAAACCTGAGCTCATGACATCAGGACAGCAGCGTGGCGGCCGCGGGACCGTCTCCACCCGGGGTGTCAGGGAGCGGGGTCTTCTGTGCTCGGCACCGGGGGACCCCCAAAGGGCAGTGACTGAGGCGGGACCACACTGAGACCTCTGCCCTCACAGAGCTGACCCTTGCCTCCTGGTATCTCTGGAGCAAGCCGCTGACCGAACGTGGACGCCCAGTCCGCGGGGATGACCTGACGTAAGTCTCTCCTGGGGAAATCTGTGGGTGTGGGAGCGGCCACAGTGTCTGGCAGGTCCGAGCCTCGGGCTGATGAGGGCGCACAGTCCTCTCGTGGCAAAGCCACGTGCAAGCCCCAGCCCGGAGGGCAGAGCCTCCCAGCTCCGTTATAGCCAACAGCTGTGGCTGTGAGCGTGCGCCTGTGCTCTGAACACGAGGCCCCAGGTGTGGGCTTGCTAGAGTCCTAGTGATGCCTGAGTGACGTGGGCTTGATGGGGTTCAGGCGCATGTAGGTGAGGAGGATGGAATCCCATGAGAATGTTTAAACAGGTTGACCGCGCCCTTCCTTTGCCTCGTGGCATCGGCTGTAAAATAAAGACGCGGCTTGTAGGCCGTGGCGCTGTCGCTAGCTCTCTGACAGCGAGGACAGCGCCCACCCTGAGCCGGCTGCCATTCTCTGGTCTGTCTTTTCTGAGCCTTTCAGCCGCCCCCACTCAGGGTCACCCAGGCCGTGCTGGTGCGGCACAGAAATCTCCCAGGACACGCACAATGGACAGCGATGTCCTTACGTTAAAGTCGCTCTAACCCAGGCAGGGAAAGGGACAGACTGTTCTGACATCTGCAGTTCCAAGTTCCAGATCCAAGGAAATCGTCCCCAAACAAAACCAGACCCTTTTCGTCACATACACTTCCATCAATTGAATGAAATGTCTCAAATAAGCGATATAAATATACTGGTCACCTAAACAGGGCAGTGCAATAGGGTGGCGAAGGCCTGGCAGGGGCCGGTGCGGGGGGCAGGGGTTGATTGGGGAACGGGGGTCGCCTGTAATACTGTCACAATAGAGATAACTTTTTAAGTACAGTGCACAGCGAGAAGCTACCTGCACGCCTCTTTCCTTGTGACAGTCTCAGGTGGTTCAGGAAGCGCAGACACCCGTTTGCCCCGGGGAACACAGCTGGCTGACAGGTGTGTCTGCACAGACAGACAACCGCTCGCCAGTCACCTTTTGTCTTGGTTTAGAATTCTGGCCTGGCTCCCTTTCTAAAGCTCTTCTCTATTTGGAAAAGTCAGGCTAATGTTTCAGCAGAAGCCCTCCCTCCCTCCCCGCTCCCCGCCCCCCGCCCCTAAGAAAGCTCCCCTCCTCTGACATGACAAAGTGGGGAGACCCAGCCGGCATAACATGGGCCAGAACGCAGCAGTCACCTTTCTCCCTGCAGGGCTGCTTCTCTGCCTGCCTGCCAGCATCAGTGCATCCTCCCCCCACGTTTTACTGAGGTTTTTTATTTAAAAACACATTCTCTTATAAGACAATAACACTGCTATATAGTCTCTCAAAAGAGCAGGTGCTGAACATCAAATCAAGAGAAGGAATACAAAAGAAAGTCTTGATGAGCAATATTAAGTATCTCCTACACTTTGATATAAAAAAACAAAAACAAAAAAAACCCAAATTGAAATGTTGAAATATTACCTTTAGGGATTTTTTGAAAAGCAAAAATCAAATCTTCATTTTAAAAAAATATTTTTTATTGATTTCGGAGAGGAAGGGAGAGAGATAGAAACACCAATGATTGGTGGCCTCCTGCACACCCCCTCCTGGGGATGAGCCCACAACCAGGGCATGTGCCCTGATCAGCAATTGAACTGTGACCTCCTGGTTCATAGGTCGACTGCCAACCACTGAGCCATGCCAGCCGGGTTCAAATCTTCATTTTTAATCGTGGAACTTTTATGGCGGCTTCTCCCACTTCTTTGGATATATCCACCCCCAGAGGACATCTGCATCAGAATCAGACAAACTCATTACTGCAAACATTGGCTTCCGTCTGGCACTAGTTCTATGGATTGTTTGCTTAGAACTCAACACACATATCTAATTTACAGTTAATTCCATGTGGTGATAGTTCTCAAATAAATACAAATACAACAGGATCTCAAAACAGATTAATTGGTGAAGAAAGGCCAGTTCCATTAATAAGAAATCTAAATTTGGAGACTTTTTAAAACCATTTTGAGGTATACTTGACATTTGTAAAAAGCTACACTTATTTAATATACACTGAGTGGCCAGGTTATTATGATCTCTGAACAGATAATAAATCTGGCCACTCAGTGTATATCCTATATAATAAAAGGCTAATATGCAAATTGTCCCCTTGACAAGGAGTTCAACCAGCAGGCAGGCCAGCCAACTGCCCTTGTCCCCTCCCTCTGGCCAGGCTGGCCGGACCCCACCCATGCACGAATTCATGCACCGGGCCTCTAATAATGCGTTCAGAGATCATAATATTCTAGTCACTCAGTGTATACAACTCAATGACTTTGGAGATTGAGATGTTTTGAAAGAAATAATTCTACAGCTCTCTAATACTGTAAATACATAAAAACTTGAAATGAGGTAGGAAAATAACAGTCTTATATTCTTTATAAAGCTAAGAAGGCGAACCTGCGCCCCTTCCCACGTCAGCCATCCCCCAGGCCGCACCGCTGCTGCTCTGCAGCGCCACCATCAGGCTTGCTCCTGGTCCCCCTTCTGCTGTCGCTGCCGCAGGAAGGTCTTAGGTCCTACCCGCTCTCTGTTCTTCCTCAGTTCTTCACATGGCTTCTGGTTCTGTATTTCACTGTTACCCGACCTGGGAAAAGCCACCATCTCCCGCCTCCACCGGGCCCCAAGGAGACACCACTGCACCGACGGCGAGTCCCACCGAAGGCAGGGCCATCCACACCAGGTGTGTAGGTGTGTGTGTGTGTGTGTGTTCTGCCACCGCCTGCTAACTCTGCTCACATATCATCAGCCCTAAGAGCCTGGTTCATGCAGCCACAGTTAAGGACGCCAATGCGGAAAAGGTTAAGTGTCGGATGAAACCCTGTAGACGCAGAACTGCTGGGTTAGGCAGCGTGACCATCCTTCCCGGTTTTCTGCGTCCGGGATGAACACGCCCGGAACTCGATAACCGACGGAGGACCATCTCCTCGGAGGAGCTCTGGTCTGGGAGACGGAGGGAGGCGCGCAGGGGCCGCTGGCGGCCGTGTCTCCGTGGCCCGGAGAAGGCCATGTTCGCAGCCCCGGCTCCTCCGGCAGCTTCTGGCACATCTCCCTCCGTTTCCCAGCATCCTCGCTGGTTCTGAACGGATTTGACCTTGCAAAAGGCAGGCCAGGGACATGGTTTCCAGTCTGTTTCCAAACGAAGGAACCCATCACCCTTACCTATCACCCGTTTCTAACCTATGACTTGTCGGGCTTTTTATCATTTGAAACTGTAGCAAACACATCTCTTACAAGGTTCCTACCTGATAGGTTCCTGAGAGAAATGACTGTAGCCAGCATATCAACGGAAACCTCACCTATAAAAGCAGCCTCCCGGTCTGACTTTTACAATGCGGCCTGCGTAAGGATAGCAGGCGCTGCCTACCTGGGTTCATAGCGGACGCCTTCCGCGTCGTACAGAATGCCCACGCCGGCACGCAGTCTCTCGATCCCGTTCCTGAGAGGGTCGCGGGACAAAGCGAACAGCCGAGTCAGAGGAAGGAGGCGGAGCATGGCCAGCGGCGGTTCACGCCGGCCCGGCCCCGGGGAGGCATGCGCGCCCGGGCCTTACCACGCGATCATCACGCCGTTGTCGGTGCACAGTCTGGGGGGAGGGCACAGCAGTGCGCACTGGGTGGCGTCTGCTACGATTTCCAGAGCTTTCCGGATGTAGAAGTTGCTGGCAACTCCTCCAGACACCACCTGAGGATGGAGGAGACACAGGAAGGGTCACACGCGGATGAGAGCGGCCAGGAGCTCCCCTGGAATGGCAGCAGCATCGACGACAAAGCATACGTCACCGCTGGCGGAGGGATGATGGGCTAGTGATGCATTTGATAATAATAAAGAATTTAAGAAAAATGCCACAAAACATTTCACGGTCAGCATATCATCACTGTGATCCTATTTCAGCGTTATCTTCCCCTGACCTTTTTCTAAGGGCAGTCAGAGTACAATACCTTAGACCAGTGTTTCCCAACCTTCTCTCATGATGAGAATCACCTGGTGGAGTTGTTAAAACACAGATTCCCGGATCCCAACTAAGAAGTGCTAAACTAGAATTTTTGGGAACATATAGGTAAAATTGTATACTTAACTGGTGCTCTAAGACAGATTTTATATACAGAGCACTAAGTTAGGTATGCAATTTTACCTATATGTTCTCAAAAATTCTAGTTTAGCACTTCTTAGTTGGGATCCGGGAATCTGTGTTTTAACAACTCCACCAGGTGATTCTCATCATGAGAGAAGGTTGGGAAACACTGCCTTAGACCCTGGAATTTTTACATGTGAGCGTTTTTTTCTTAAATAATTCTTTATTTACCTTTGATATTCCATTCTGCCCATCTACCACCATCTAAATACGGTCTCACTCCCTAATTCTCAGAAGAATGCACTTTAGAAGCAGTCACCCGAGAAGCTCACCACGGCTGTGAGCACGTGGGGTCCACCAAAGGACACGAGCGTTAAGGAGACCAGCCTGTTTCTCTAAGATCATGCCGCCAGCTCCTGCGCTCCTCCTCATCGCGGACCCTGCGACAGGCACGAGCAGAGCGGCCTGGGGCTCCCTGGCCCCAGGGCTGTGCACACCCCAAGGCTGCCTCGTACCAGGAGGGGCACCAGGAAGGGACGTGGGTGGCAGAGCCTTCCTCTCCGGGCACAGGCGGCTGAGCCCTCGGAGAACACCTAGCGTGAAGGGCACCACCGCTCCCGGGCGAGGGGCTCCCGGGCGAGGGGCTCCCGGGTGAGGGGCTCCCCAGGGCGAGGGGCTCCCGGGGCGAGGGGCTCCCAGGGCGAGGGGCTCCCGGGCGAGGGGCTCCCGGGGCGAGGGGCTCCCGGGGCGAGGGGCTCCAGGGCGAGGGGCTCCCGGGCGAGGGGCTCCCGGGCAAAGGGCTCCCGGGCGAGGGGCTCCAGGGCGAGGGGCTCCCCAGGGTGAGGGGCTCCCCAGGGTGAGGGGCTCCCGGGCGAGGGGCTCCCTGGGCGAGGGGCTCCCAGGGCGAGGGGCTCCCCAGGGTGAGGGGCTCCCAGGGCGAGGGGCTCCCAGGGCGAGGGGCTCCCGGGCGAGGGGCTCCCAGGCGACGGGCTCCCAGGGCGAGGGGCTCCCAGGCGAGGGGCTCCCAGGGCGAGGGGCTCCAGGGCGAGGGGCTCCCCAGGGTGAGGGGCTCCCCAGGGCGAGGGGCTCCCCAGGGTGAGGGGCTCCCGGGCGAGGGGCTCCCGGGCGAGGGGCTCCCGGGCAAAGGGCTCCCGGGCGAGGGGCTCCCCAGGGTGAGGGGCTCCCCAGAGTGAGGGGCTCCGGGCGAGGGGCTCCCGGTCGAGGGGCTCCCCGGGCGAGGGGCTCCCGGGCGAGGGGCTCCCCGGGCGAGGGGCTCCCGGGCGAGGGGCTCCCCAGGGAGAGGGGGTCCCGGGCGAGGGGCTCCCCAGAGTGAGGGGCTCCGGGCGAGGGGCTCCCCGGACGAGGGGCTCCCGGGCGAGGGGCTCCCCGGGCGAGGGGCTCACCAGGGCAGCATTGCTCGGGGGCAGCAGGCCTCTCTGCTGGCAGAACAGGAGGGCGCGGTGCGTGCGCTTGGCGAGGTGGCAGGCAATGGCGTGCTGGGCGGCAGCCGCGATGTCGGGGGCGGAGGACAGGACCTGGCCCGGCTCCAGGCCTGCAGATGGAGCACAGTCTGGGATCATCCCCCACCCCTTTTGTTACTTTATTTTGTTACCTCGCTCCGAGCAGAGTGAGTTTTCCATTCGTTTCCAGAGAGTGGAAGGGAGGGGGAGACAGAGAGAAACATCGATGCACATGCTTGGCTGCCGCCCGCATGAGCCCTGACCAGGGCCTGGACCCCTGCAACCGAGGTCCATGCCCCTGACTGGAATGGAACCCGGACCCTTCGGACTGCAGGCCGAAGCTCTAGCCACTGGGCCAGACCGGCTAGGGCTGTCCACCTAATTCATTGAAATATACCTTCCTCTCTTTCCTTCCTTGTCACTATCCTATCGATCACATGCTGCAGTCCAGAGAAGGAGAAGTCACAGTTCTTAGCGCGGTGCATGGGCGGCGTGAGATCAAAGTGCAGTCTGTTTCCCCGTTTGGCCAAGTGCTCGATGGCCCTCCCGCCACTCATGGCGGCACACTCCGGGTGCTTCGCCAGGGCCAGCCTCCTCGCCACCTGCCGGGGACAGACACACCCCCTCCAGTGAGTCAGAAGCCACGACGCAAAGGAACGGAAACGCATACCACGCCGGGACGAGGAAGACAGCTCTGCGTTCGCAGTGTGGGCGCCAGGCGGTCAGCGACGGCCAGGCCAGCCTTTCTGACAGCCAGACCACAGCGACGTATGTAATATCGTAAGCAATAAAGAATTAAAAACACAAGAAACGTAAGTGCATTTGCAAACTATATGAGCCTTTATGGGCTGCTGTACACCTCCCACGCTGTATTTGAAATGGGGCAGAAAGCATCTTTTGTAAACTACTTTTTCTTTTTGTCTTCCTCCACACATACTTTTTCAGTCTAATGGGATTGCATTCAGGAATATTTAGATCAATGGTACTAGTGCAGACATCACCGCTTAACTGCAAACGACACCTTCACAAAAAGCAATGCAGAGATTAGTTCCGAGTTACCTTGTCAAGCATGTCGCCCGGCGCTATGTCCAAAGACTTCCCAAGAAGCAGGAAGTCTGAGACGCTTCTGACCAAGGCCAGCAGACAGTGGCCTCCAGAAATCAAGAGCACTAAAAAGGGAAACTCCACTCTATCCGTCAGCCTAATGGTCAGCGCATGCGCCTCCATGTGGTGGATGGGGATAAAGGGCTTTTTCCACTGGCCCACCAGCTGCAGGCTGAAGGACAGGCCCACACCCAGGCTCAGGGCGAGGCCAGGCATGGTGGTGGTCGCCACAGCTGCCAGCTCGCCCGGAGGGACCCGGCTGGCGGAGAGCGCCTCTTGCACTATTCGCTGGATGTTTTCTCTGTGAAGCTGCTGGGCCACGGGGGGAATGATCCCGCCTGTCCTGAAAGAGAATTTTAAAAAGCTTGTTATAATTTTAAGGCTGTAAAAACGGGGGGAGAAAAAGTATATATGAGAGCTGACGGCACGTTTTCTTTTTTTTTTTTTTAAATATATATTTTATTGATTTTTTACAGAGAGGAAGAGAGAGGGATACAGAGTTAGAAATGTCAATGAGAGAGAAATATCGACCAGCTGCCTCTTGCACATCCCCCACCGGGGATGTGCCCGCAACCCATGTACATGCCCTTGACCGGAATCGAACCCGGGACCTTTCAGTCCCCAAGCCGACGCTCTATCCGTTGAGCCAAACTGGTCTCGGCTGAAGGCACGTTTTCAAAGTCATCGTTATATCGCTAAAAACGTTAGTCACATGTTTTCAAACGTGTCTCACAACACAGCTTCGGAGCCCAATGGGCAGTGACCCCGGGCGGGATGCCTCTGCACCACATTTGTCTGTCGCTGCAGGAAATCGCCACCATAACCTCGAGCAGCTTTCTAAGGAAGAACCTTGGGCCAGGAAAGGACAAAGTGAAAATGGACTTCGGAAAAGCTGATCTCTCTGCAGGCAGGCAGGATTTTAAAAGTTTTAAAGTTACTGCCAAAGGCGGAGGTGATTACATCTTAAAGTGGGTGAGTGTGGGAATGGAAGGAAAGGTAGGGTTCCAACCTTATTGGGGAGAGCCTTAAAGGCCAGGCTGGGGGTGGGGCGGGGAGGGGGAGGCTGTCTGACAACAGCAGTTCTTAGAAGCTTTTGTACAAGAGAAGCAATTAGCTCCTCAAATTTAACTTTTATACAAGACTAGAGGCCCAGGGCAGGAATTCGTGCATGGGTGGGTCCCTCGGCCTGACCAGCAATCAGGGCTGATAAGGGCCTGGGAGGCTGGCCGGCCAGGGGGAGGGACCTCAGGAAATTGGCTGTCTGGGGGGAGGGGCTGAGGGAGTTGGCCCGATGGGTTGAGGGGCTGAGGGGCGTTGTCTGTGGGAACACATTGACCACCAGGGGGCAGCTCTTGCATTGAGCGTCTGCCCCCTGGTGGTCAGTGTGTGTCATAGCAATGACTGGTCATTTCAGCTGTTTGGTCGCTTAGGCTTTTATATATATAGATAAACAGAAAAGAACTATTTTATTTTACATTTTCCAAAAAAAATGGAAAACCAAGATAGTGTCTACTTACTTTAAGTGGACTTCCGTTTGGGAATGTATTGCTTCCCCCAAAATATTTCCAGTTTCATCCACCACAGCAGCTGCAGTGTCGTCACAACTGGTCTCAATTCCCAGCACCGCTCTGTGAGGACAGGCTTTCCCAGGATGGAAGTGGAAGCCTCTTACGTACTCATACAGTCTCCTTCTCGATGGTTTCGGAAGAACTCTTGCTGTCTTACTCAATATTAGCATAGTTGCTCTATTGGTAATTCCTGGAAAAGAATTAAAGAAGCAAACTTATTATTGGGAATTGGCATTAGCCACTCAACCATTCAGTTAAGCAAAATTCTGAAAGCTTGGTTTATTTCCTAATGTGTAGTTTTATAAAATTATAGGAAAGTCTTATAAAAATGAGCAAAAAATTTAAAGGCTATAGCAACTTGTTATGTAATTTATATACTATAATATAACTAAGTGTGAATGAATGTAATACTCTTTAAGGGGAAAATAGGGTAGTCAGACGTAACTTTTTGGATTACTGTTACCCTCATGCTGTTCTTACCAAACCCCTCTTTGTTCTTTACAAAACAGCTAATATTATGGGATAACAGCTGCATGGAATAGTCCTCCGGAAAGTGCTCCTTATTTCTTTGGCTGCTAACATTAAGACAAAATGTGGTTTAAAAAAAAAAATCAAACAATAAAGGCAAAATAGATCAGTAAAAATAAATGCAGCCTATTTCTTGGAAACATCTTTTAAAATAAAATTTAATCATTTGCAAAAAGAGCAGACACACAAAGTAAGCTTTAATCGCCTAGCTCACAAACACGTGTTCTCATAACCGTCATCTTACACGAACCACATTTCCATTACAGAGACTGCAGCCTCCTACTTTCCCCATTAGTTACAACTTTTCGAATTAAATTTACCTTCCTGCCAGAGGTTTATCCTAACAGGGATGTCCCCAGATCCCATTTTCCCCAACATAGCAGCAGTCCATCGCTAACGCCCCCTGGCGCTGCTAAGGATTAATGTCACGTCCCCACATCACCTAGAACTGTCTGGGTGTTGCCCTGGCCCGTTGCTCAGTGGAGAGAGCACCGCCTGGGGGACTGAAGGGTCCCGGGGTCGATTCCAGTCAAGGGCATCTCCCTCAGTTGCAGGCTGGATCCCTGGCCCTGGTCTGGGCAGGAGGCAACCAATCACGTGTGATGTTTCCATCTCTCCCTCTCCCTACAACCATCTCTTAAAGTCAATGGGCAGATGTCCTCAGGTGAGGATGAACGAAGCACAGCAAAAAGACTGGCAGAGCCTCTGGGGGTGTGAGGCCCTTTCCCTAGCACGCCGGCGGGACGGCACGGGAGGAGGGAGCGAGCAGACGCTGGGACTTGCACGGATCCAGGGAGCAGAGGGCACCGGGGGTGAGGTGCGATCCACCTGTTCAGAGAGATCAGCGTGGGGTTCGGCTGACAGACACCCCGAGAAATCAGGTGTGCAGCCCCCACGGCAGGCCGGCGGCCGTGCGGGTCCTCTCTCCGGAGGTCACGGGCAGCTCCGGGCCGGCTTCCCCGCTGCCGTCCCCGGAGACACATTGAAAAGGCGGGGCCCGCCGGTGGCCCGCGCAGGGGCGGGTCGTGGGTGCGGACGCGCGAGGCGCGGCCACTCACCGCTCCCGAGGGCGCGGGGCGGGCGCTCGTCCGCGGTCTGCGCTCCGCCCGCCCGGCCCGGAAGCCGCCGCGGGGCCGGAAGTGACGCCATCGCCCGGCGCCGGAGACACCACAGCCCCGAGGAGGCCGCGCGGTTAGTCCGTCTGCCCCGGGCGCTGCGGGGCTGCCCGCGCGGTCCGGGCGGGAGCTGGGGGCGGAGGCGCGGGCTGTCAAGGGGCTGATTGTGGTTCGGACCGGCCCGGGCGCCCTGGGGGAAAGCGTTGGGTGGCTGGTTCGCCGTTCCGTGTCCGGGGGCCTGTCACCCTCCTCGCGCTGCGGCCTGGGACACCGCGTAGGCCGAGAGCCGGGATGGGGCGCCGCAGGCTCGGGGCTCCCGGAGCACGGACCCCCGGAGCCGGCACTCCCACCTCCCCGCCTGAAGGTGGGCGGTCCGTTTCGAGGTAAAAATAAAAGGGGGTGTCTTAGAACTCACTTCCCTTTAAAAATCTAATACCCTACGTCCCCGCCCCCCCCTTTTCATTAAGGCATTACATGTGGACATATCTTCCCATACATGCCCTCACCCCCCGTGTCTGTGTCCATTGGGTATGCCTGTATGCATGCACACATGTCCTGTGGTGGACCTCTTACCTTCCCCACCGCTCCCCCACCTTCCTGCTAAACACTGAAATATGGTAGCAATCATACTTGGGTAAAAACTGCTGTTTGAGTTTTAACCTTGCTAACCTTCGATTACTTGCTTAAACAATAGGGTAGTTACAGGAGATTGACTCCCACGGACTTGGTAGCTTCAGGGGTAGAAACTACAGATAACCTTTAGAGATTAACCTCTGAGTTCTGCTTTTGTATTATGGGCAAGATAGAGCCACATTCCAATGTTCCCAGCCTTTAGAATATTCCTGTGGTTTGAAGCTTTAAAAGGGATTGCCTACACCTGGATCGGTGCTGGCGTGTGGGGCCCACCTGCGGGTGGTGCTCCCGCGGCCGTCCTGGCCAGTTTTTCAATAAATCCTTGCCTGCTTTTTTAAATCGGTCTTCAGCCTCCGGTGGTCTTATTTTGAACCCAGGGTTCGGCCCCACAGCAAATACCCCACGTTTAGAATGCCTTGTGCACGGGACTTTAGCACAGAGGGCTCCTGTTCTTGCGCCCCCACTTTTTTTCTTTTATTGAAATGTGAGCTCACGGCCACTTTTCTGTCCGAGAGGCCTTCCTCCCTGCAAGGCTCTCGGGGCTCAGGAAGCGAGCACCCCGCCATGTAAGGCTGGCAGCGCTGGCCCCTGGCGGCTTTAAGTTAGATGCATACACCACAGGCGGGAAGTCATCCTCTCTTGACGGATACAGATGTAAATTCATAGCTACCAGAATGTTATGGAAAGTTTTTTTAAGGTGAAACTTGGTTTTTGACTATTTTTTATTGCTGTGTGGCAGTAGTCATAATGCACAGTGAAGTGGCACTTAGCATATGCCAGGCCCTGTTGCAGATTAATTTACTGAACCTCCCTACAACCCTGCTGGAAAACCGTCTTGTCTCCCTAATAGAAAGATGTGGAAGGCTGGTCAACCTTGAAGCTCTGAAAGGTCAGAGGCAGGCACTCCCAGTCTAATTGAGACAATGGTAACTAAGGCAACTTCCCCATCAATATTCATGTAAATCCTCACTGATAAAATAATCTGCCTGTTACTGGAATTTCCTGCCTAAAGGCTATGGGTGTATCCCATAGACAATAAAAGGGATAGCTAGGCCAAAGCATGGCGGTAGTCCTCCCACTAGAGGTGGGCTCCCGCCTGGCCCCCAATATTCCCAAATTAATATTTCTCTAGTCTTTTTCATTTGTGTGAGGCCTTCTCCAGAACCCGAACCCTGAACCGGAACTCTGAACCACGCGGGATGTGAAAGGGGCTCCCAACCCCAGGAGGGAGTGGCTGTCTTCATTTACACGGAGCACTGGTTCATGGGATTTGGGTCACACAGCTACCAGGTGCAGAGTTAAGCACTGGAGTCTGTTTTCTTAACCACCAGATAACTCTTATTTTTCTCTGGGCTGCATTGTTGACCCAAAAGAAAAAAAAAATTTTTCTTATATTTTTATTGATTTTTTTACAGAGGAAGAGAGAGGGATAGTTAGAAACATTGATGAGAGAGAAACATCGATCAGCCGCCTCCTGCACACCCCCTACTGGAGATGTGCCCGCAACCAAGGTACATGCCCTTGACCAGAATTGAACCTGGGACCCTTTAGTCCGCAGGCCAACGCTCTATCCACTGAGCCAAACCGGTCTCTGCCCAAAAGAAAAATTTAAAAATTACGACCTAAAGATAGAGAAAAATGCAGTCCTGATTGGCCTTGTAGGTCAGGGGTTCTATTATGCACTGAAATCTCGCCTGGACATTGGGCGGTTTTTCTTGCAGGTGAATTAGGCTCAGCAGGTGTGCCCCTGCTCTCCTGTGCTGTGCTTGGTAGTGTTGGTGTCATTGGTAGATTGTCGTCATTGAGTCTGAATTTTGCCTTATATAAAACAGCAGAACTCTAGGACACATTAGGAATTTTATTCTTCCTTTGAGTGCATTTTAGAAACCTACACCAAATGCATGTCCTGTCCTTGACACTTCCTCCATGTTCTTGATTGCACGAGAGAAGTTACTGGAGGAAAGGTGTGGGCACTCTGGACGGGTATCCAGGCTTCCATCAGATCACATCTATGGTCCGAGTGTCACTTACAGGCCTTCTCAACGAAAGATGGCCTAACCACGGACACTTCTTGAATTGAGAGTTCCAAATACATCTAGATAAACTCATTTGTCTAACTTCCCACTTGTATACTTTAGACTAGGAAAATCATATGCAAGAGAATACTCATTCCCTAATTATGTCTTACTATAGTGGATTTTATCACATATTTTGGGGGTTCTTCCCTTTGGGCCAGAACATTAGTTGCTAAGAGATAAACTATCCATTCCCTGTCTTCAAAGAACCAAGTCCAATAACAGGCAATTGCAATCCAGCATTATGGAAAGTGTGCATTGAGAAAGTGCATTAGGTGGTGTTGCTTCCACAGATGGATCCATAACCTAGCAGGCCTTGGTGTGATTGCTGGGTTTAACATCTGATTCTCATATAGCTTGAAATTGGCTCATGACAATGGGGTGCTAGATCAGACATTCAATTTGCTGATAAACTATGTAAAAACCATACTACAATAGAGGCCCTGTGCTCGAAACTCATGCACTGGAGGCCGGCAGGAGGGGGGGAGGGGAGGTAAGGGGTGTGGTTGTTAGTTTGGTTGTTTTGGACATTATGGACTCTGGCTCTTTATATTAATTTATGAGGAATGCAACAGTGAGGAGCTAGGATAGTTGAACTGGCGGGATTGGGATTTGGTGTTGACCAAATCCCAGTGAAAGCCAATCAAACTATAATCAGGACTGCTTAGTAAATATGGAATGGAAAGCAACAGAGATGGGTTTGGTGCTTCCCAAGGGCTCATTTTGAACTTGACACACCCCTTCCCATTTGAGTCACATGCTTCTCTGTCTTCATAGCTTGAGTAGTGGTAAAAATAGCTATTTGCCTCTTTTCCTTTGCTAAGAAATATCTTTTGATATGAAACATTCTTTCATTCATGGTAATACTGTCATCAGGTCTCATCTTTGGAAGATATTTTGCTCTTTGTTTGCTGCGTTGTTATGCTTCATAAATTTACCCTGTGACTTTAATCATTTTTGTGTGTGCAGCTCAGTGGTATTAAGTACTCTGTACTGTTTTGCAGCCATCACTACCATCCATCTCCATAACTTTTACATCTCTCCTAACTCTGTATCCATTGAACACTAATCCCCATTACTGTGTGACCCCTTTCTCCCCCACTCCTCTGGCCTCTGGCCACCACCAGTTTGTTTTATGACTGTGACCATGAAGGAAAACCATCATTTAACAACACTACATGTTGAAGACTTGAGGTTTTAGTGACTGCCTTCACTTGCTTAATTTTTTGCCCCATGACATTTATTACTACATGAAATGATATGTTTATTCATTCACTTATTATCTATTCTCCAGCTAGACTATAAGCACATAAGGGAAAGAACTTGGTTTGTCTTGTTTACAAACTGTATCCACAATACCTGAAGTAATACCTACAACAAATATTTATTAAATATTTTTAAAACATAAGGGGGAAAGTGGGAAAAATAGCAAGAGGCCTGGATTAGAGCCAGATTTCTATCTCTGAAGTATATGCAAAAATAGTAAGCCTTTTGAGATAAACTTTAAACATTAAGAAAAACAAAGTACTATTTAAAAAAAAATTTTTTTTTTTTACAAGTTCAGTTGCTTAAAATAACAGTATAACACCGATGAATGAATTTGGAGATTTTGCGATAATCCTACACCAAAAGAAAATTTTTATTGATTTGAAAAAAAATACACAGGAAAAGACAAACATACAAAGGCATTATCATACAACTGATTTCTAAAGTCAATACTTTTGAAATATAAAACAATTATCCCCCAAGTCAGTTTATTGAAACAAACTGACTTTAAGTTGGTCTCTAACTTTTCAATTTTGTTTACAAATGTTCCTAGGGTTTTCAGTATTATCCCATATCAGAACTTGTTTCTTTGGAAATATTTACTTCTCAAAGTTGTATATAGTTACTTCTTGCAATTAATGTCAGCAACTATCAGAAGCTTCTCTAAGTCACAAGAATTCAATATGGCTGCTGCTTTGGAAATAGTTACCCTATTGGGTTATCTACATGAAGACTCATGTACTGAAAGTCCAAGTATTTCCTTCTCTAAAGAATGGCAGACTTAAATAATGAGATTGCTCAATCACATACCGGTAAGCAGAGACTTTTAAGTTAGAATATACTTTAACTGGGAAATAAATTATTTTCGTAATTGGTTTAGCAGCTATAGGTCTGCAAAGGCAGCAAACCTCATTTTGTTTCACAATCAGAAGGCTGACTCAGAGGCTGTTTGTAAGATGCCTAACTACCTTCCATCGCCAGTCTGTTGTGAACGTGGACCTCAGTTACTTACTGAGTTAAGTAACTCAATGTGACAGCGATCTCATCCATCCACACACAATGTTGAGCCAGCAAAATGAGAAAAAAAGAAGCCCACTCACAAGGCTTATGTAAAACAAGAGGGCATATGTCTTCTTGCACAAGAGGAACATATATGGCAAAAACAACCATCTACATCAGACCTGGGAAGAGATGGTTTTGGTTTACGTGTAAGTTGGCTTAATCTGACCATGGCGGAATGATTGGAAAGTTTCTTCTCTAACATAATGCCCATTCGTTATAAACTAAGCTGGCTTAGTTTCTTATAAATCTTATTTCCTTGGATTTATTTACTACCCCCTCATTCTATAGCCTTTTATCTTACAAGCTGGGCCTGCCCAGCCCGCCTCTGAAGCCTCTGGAGAAAGGTACCCGCTGCAGTGAACTCTGGCCTCCTCCAGGAGGAATCCGCACGTCAAACAGCACAGGAAGAACCAGCACTGGGCCCTCCGCGCAATGCCTCCCATTTCACACTGCCAGGGAAGCAGTGCGTTTACCAACCACCCCTTCCTACAGGCAACTCAGCGTAAAAGCTTTTCTTCCGTTTCAACGCTTTTCAATACTTGTTAATTCCAAAAATCCGAACTCCATGCAGCTGTGGCACTTTGGGAATTAGCACACTCAAGAGAGAAGCTGTGTTCAGCATGAAGTGAGTTGGGTCATACTTCGTATAGAAACTTGCCAGAAAATATCTGTAGAAATAAAAGTTATGAATATATTTAAAGTTTAAAAATAATATTACTTTTAATGAAGGCATATATGCACATTTTCACTTCTGCAATTCTGTTAAATGCATTTAATAAAATAGGTTTGCTACTTAGCATCCTTACAGCAGGCTTTCAAACTAGGGTTCATGTGCTCCCTAAAATTTCAGGTGTAGTTTAGTATCTGTGTTTCTGAAGAAAAGATTCAGATCCAAAGATACATCATATCCTCTAGGGTTTTGTGACCCACCAGCTGTGAGTGGAGAAAAACGGGGTTAGTGTATTAGTACAATTAGTGTCTTTGAACAAAAGCAAATACTTGGTTGCCTTTTAATGGTCTCATTTCCATACTGTGGACAAACAAGTCTACAACCAGTTTAGCTGGAAACTTGAAAGACACTGTTGTAAAATTCTAGCTGTTTTGCTATAACTTGAATATACATACATATTCAGACACCCAACATCTGAGAATTTGTTTTAATAAGCCTAACCCAACTGTAAGGCCATAAATCGAGTCAGAAAATCTAGTTTTACTCGAGCAGTACATCAGAGCACAGACACGTCATCTGGCCCCTAACAACAGTATCCTAATATAGACAAGATTTAGAGAATAAAATACCATAACTAAAGAAGTTAGTCTGCATATGGGTGTTTTGTATTTTTGGAGCACACAGGAAAGTATTTTTTTAAAAAACATATTTTGATTTTTTACAGTGAGGAGAGGGATAGAGCGCCAGAAACATCAATGAGAGAGAAATATCGACCAGCTGCCTCCAGCACACCTCATACTGGGGATGTGCCTGCAACCAAGGTACATGACCTTGACCAGAATCGAACCTGGGACCCTTCAGTCTGCAGGCCAACATTCTATTCACTGAGCCAAACCAAACAGGGCAGGAAAGTATTCTTATAGCTTTTCTCCTAAGTATTGTCATTAGTTTCTCATAAGGGAGATAACTTTAAATACAGTTTGAAAAACAAAAGCTACTTTCAAAAGACTAAAAATATCAGAGCTGGGCACGTCATTTTCAGATCTAAATTAAGAAATTTATAACTTTAAACTTACTTTACAAACTATATAGTCATAAAATTCTTGAGAATAATCCATATTCCTTAATCTTTACTTTCAAATCCTTTCTTCCTGTTTTCATATACTTTAATACTGCTATTTTCCTCCATTCAATGAACAAAATAGGATACCATTTGCATTTAGTAAGCTTATTTGATTTCCCATCATTATTCTGGCCTTAATCTATAATCTGATATGTTGGAAAATAGAAAATCTTCTCAGAATGCTTTCGATTTATCATAGCATAGCATATGTCCCCTTTGTGTCTTTTAATGCAACAGTCGCCAACCGGACCACTGGTGGGCTGTGAGGTCCAAAGGTTGGCGACTGCTGTGTTAATGAACAAAAATTGTGTGTGTAGATTATATAAAAATTACTTTGCTATACAAAAAAGCTCGCCAATCTTCCAAGGAGATGCAAAACCAAGTGGCAATCAGTGTGATGGTGTTTATTTGCCAAATAATATTCTGGAAAGAGACCTGTATTAGAAGCTGGAAGTTTAGGGTTTCATCTGGGCTTTTGACTCCAACTACCCGCAAGATCAGGAGCAAGATAATGAGACTTGTTTCTTTAAAAACCTGGGCTAACAATTCACATCTCACCACCTGATAAGTAATGATCAAGTAAGAAAATGTCTTACTGTCACCACATAGTATCAATGCTGCATAGATGGTTTTAATGCTGCTTTTTCAGTTATGTAAGGAATTTAACCAGATGCCAGATAAAAGGTCAAATGCTTTACAGATGCTGTATCATTTACTTCTTATAGTAGATGCCACAGAATTTTATTTATGAGCAAACCGAACTGGCGATTCAATCCAGGTCTAACCTTTCTATTCTCTAAACCAGTGATTTTCAACTGGTGTGCTACAAAAATGTTTAAAACATGCAGTACCCCCTTAGACTCTCAAATAAAAAAATGTCAATAGCCAATAATAACCACCTGGTATGAATTAATCGAAAGTATCCTTTTTTGGTCAGGTCGGCAAAAAAAAAAAAAAAAAAAAAAAAAGTACATTTTGGCATGCTACAGAATTTGAGTAATTAGTTTATGTGTTCCATAAGATAAAAAAGGTTGAAAATCACTGCTTAAAATCATTCTTTCTTTCCCAAGGAGTTTGAACAGCCTAATGGGGCAGGTGGTCAATGAAGTATGTCTGAAATTGTCCAAACCTGTTTAGAGAGAGCAATCTGATAGTGGACTATAGAGAAGACTATGTGTTTAGTTTTCTGATAAGCAACTTATGAACATGACCTGGAATACATCTGACCTGTATAACCTAGAATGTCTAGGCATACTGATGGGTGTGTAATGTGGTCCCCATATGCTACTACTAAAGTGAAAACTGTTTTATTACAGCTTGTTAAAGATTTTGCCTGTATTTTATATTCTACCTGAGGTAGCTATTTATCGACAGAAGTTTTTAACAAAATACTATTTCTAGTTCAAATTCAATCTAATAAAACCATAACTGCCTCTTGCCTAATCCCCCGCCTACCTAAAACTTCCCACCACTTACAGAATTATTGGAGAGATGGTGAAAAACTTGCGTGAAGATGTGAACTGTACTCCATAGTCCAGCTGCTCCCAGTGAGTGAGGAGCCTTGCCTTACCCTGGTCCGGAGTTTCAAAAGGAGTTCCTTTCACCGCGTGCATAAACACATACATCCCCTGGAGAGCAAGCACGGAGCGTGTCATTAACGTCACAGACAAAATTGGTAGTTGTCAGTAAACAATGCGATAGTTCCAGACTATCTGTGACAAAGTATAAGATTCAACTTACAGCTCAAGCATTAACCTTTCACATTATTGTTTCCTCAGAGTACAAAAAAACTTCCAGAGGTAGATAAACATTATTGGGTGAAAACCAGTGAGAAGTCAACCAAAAGTAACCTGCTTTCATCTTTTTATTAAATTGAAAATAAATAAGAAGTATTATTAAATTGAAAATAAATAAGAAGTATTATCAGGGTAACTATATAATTACATTTAGATTTTTTCTAAGATCTTTCCTATTAGAAAACAGGGTTACCTTTTCCCCAATGTGTAGGAAAGGTTTATTGTGGCATATTAGTAAATATGATAATACTTATAAAATAAAAAATACAAATTAGTAAATAATGGTAATAAGCAAAACCTCTATATCAGGAAAAATGGTTTTGAAAATATTTAACATTAAAACTGTCTTTGTCCCAATAGCTCTCTTCCAAAGCAATGAAGATGGTTTGCTGTAATAGGCATAATGTTCAACTCAATTTGCTTTTAAAGTCACAACTGTGCCTCAAAGTATATCCTTTGAAGTTCGTTTTTAAAAATAAAGTATTACTAAAAGCCAATGTGTTCAGTAATATGTTAAAATATCCAATTTTGTGGTTAATTAGGGGGAAAAAACAATGTATACTAGATCTGTTTTCTTTGCAATTATGATACCCATTTAGATTGCTAGGCAGCGCTTCACTGCAGGATCGCTATCTGAGGAACTGGTAACAAGAGTCTAAATATCATCATGACAGTCTTTCCCACTAGAAGTCATACTGTGATGTCATTTTTTTCTATTACTTTTAACAAATATATGGAAAAAGAAAACACAGAAAAATTAGTGATTTGCAATTTTACATTATTACAGGTTAAGAGAGTCCTTATTTCCCAAGCTTAGCCTACTTCCTATTCAAAAAGGCAATTCAAAAGTTGTTTAGCTGCAAAAATAACTAAGCTATACATTAATGATCACATTCAATTGAATTTAACTCAACTTACATTAATAAGTTAAATGTATGGACCACAGGATATGTATGCATATATGAATTGAACAGACACACAGCCTGAAAAATGTCAATCTTCTAAGAGATGGCTAAGGGGACAAAAGATGTATAAACAACTATGTAGGGCAGCAATTATACAATCAGGGTACTCCGTAGATGCAGGGGAAAAGGTTCCTTGTGACTGAGGCAACAGCCCGATGCTACCTTGTCAACTGTCTCATTCTTGAAGGATCAACTCCAATGACAACTCTGGAGCGAAGCCCTCCACACTCGTAATAACCTCTTGTCTGCGTGGCTGAATTTCATTGATACTTTCATTATAGCACAACACATACATTGTACTGGAGTTGTTTACATGTTTGTTTTCCCATTCGCCTGAATACATCAGGAACAAGGGCTGGTATACAGCAAGTATTAGGTATTAAGCCAAGAAATGCTTATTCTGTTAGCATAGGGAAACATGATCATGTGGTCTTTAAAGGAAACTAGGACGCAGAATGTGTATGGTTTCAGGTTCCTAGGAGTATGCTATTGTCTACTCTAGACCACATGTGTTAGAATTATCAAGAGACGAACAATCTGGAATTCTCATCAGTATTTAGGATATATGTAATATTCAGTTTATTGTACAATATGTTATCATTTTCAATGAAAAAGAATAAAATCTGGCCATACATCTTCTCTATTATTTTTAATATATTTTATTGATTTTTACAGAGAGGAGAGGACTAGAATTAGAAACATCAATGAAAAAGAAACATTGATCAGTTGCCTCCTGTATACCTCCTACTGGGGATCGAGCCTGCAACCATGCCCTTGACTGGAATGGAATAGGGACCCTTCAGTCCGCAGGCAGATGGTCTGCCCACTGAGCCAAACCCATTAGGGTTACTCTATTATTTTTATTTTTAATAGTTTTTCTATTAGGCTCTAGCCCGTTTGGTCGAGCTTTGGCCTGCGGACTGAAGGGTCCCAAGTTCGATTCTGGTCAGAGGCACATGCCCTGGTTGTGGGCTTGATCCCCAATGGGGGGCATCCAGGAGGCAGCTGATCAATTAATCAATGATTCTGTCTCATCCTTGATGTTTCTATCTTCCTCTCCCTTCCTCTCACTGAAATCAATAAAAATACATTAAAAAAAGAATTAGGAAAAAATGTAGCTCATAGTTAGTCCTTAATAAATATTTACTGACTCAAAAGAATTCTCATTCATTTTAAAAGGTAGGCAAAAAGTATTAATAACTCTACGGTGAACTGTAACACTAAAGAAAAACAATCACTAAGGGGCCCACTGCATGGTTTCAGAAAGGCAAAAACTATTTTTTCTGACCAGGAATACCACTTAGGTCTACTTTCCTGTATGTAAAAGCATTCAGCATGTTTCACATTTTTAATTATTTTAATTTAGGCTATCTTCAAAAGAAACTTAAATTTGGAGTCACGTAATTGCTACAGCTATGTCTGGTTAGTTAGGTTTTTAGTGTGGTGAACTCAGTCAGCAGTTTGCTTCCCTATATGTTGTAAATTTCCTATCCCTTTCCACTGCTGTATACTGTGCCTCAATCTCAGTCAACCAAACAAACATGAGAGAGGAAGATGACTTCTGAAGTACATTTAATACATATGTCATGGGAGAAGGAAAAATTACAGAACAACACAAGCTAATTAATTCAGCAAACACTTCAATAGGTATTGGCGATCTAGAAATAAAAAATAACTAAGATAAACTGCTAATTGTAAAACTATCATAAATATCATTGCTAAAATGACCTATTTTCTAGATTCTAGAAAACCCATAGAAGGAAAAATGTCTTACTTAGAAAAGCGCCCAATGTTTAAATATAAAGTGTGACAGAAAAATATATTCCCATTCCAGATACTAAAATCATCAAGCTGTACACTTTAAATGGGTGACTGTTACATTGTGAATTATATATCGTATAACTGTTTTAAAAAACTAAGTCATAGGTTCTTCTTTATAAAGAAACTTTTAAGCTTTTTCAAAAACTGTGTTTAAGTACATCAAACATAAAATGTACCATTTTCTAAGTGTACTGCTGAGTGGTATAAAGTGCATTCACATTGATAAGCAACATCTTCACCATCCATCTCCAGAACTCTCTGCATCTCCCCAAAATTACAACGATCCCATCACACAATACTCCCCACCCACCCTCCCTGCCCCAGACCGTGTGTGCGGTGGCGTCCTCACCAGGTTGTGAATGACGTTCGTTAGGGTCCAGGCCACGGGGACGCTGAAGAAGGGGATGCTGAGCAGCACGATGTGGAGCAGGCCCACGCCCAGGGCGTAGGTCAGCCAGATCCCTCGGCTGTTCATGACGCGGGTGTTGGGGTTCACCTCGCTGTGGGCCACGCCGACGTTCATGTTGGCCCTGCAGGAAAGCAATGGGAGCCAGATAACCCCAATCTGACCTATAAAATACGCTGTGAACCAGGGCTGTTTCTTTCTAGTTGTTCTGAAATAGAACAAGCACACCCTCTCGAATATGCTACTTGCAGATGCTGACAAAGGCAGTAAGGAATTCTTGCCATCTGACTTCATGGTGAGACAAACGAGAGTTGTTTTTATAGTTCTTGTTGGGGAAAAAGTAAAGTTAAAACCCTTTCCTACAACGTGTCTTCTGGCATGTTGGTTTTACTAAATGAAATAATGGGCAGGAAAACTCAGAGAGAGAACCTACATTTTCTCCTGTCATGAGAGCAAAGTGAAAACTTAGGAGCTAAGTGTATCAACAGAATCAACGAACACAAAGAAAGCAAAGCTGACCCAGACTCCTGTCTGACGTCATGCTGTACCCACAAAGGGCCTCGGGGTTCCAGTCATCACCCCCCAGGAGGAGCCTGGGAGGGGCGGGGCCGTGGGACAGGGCTGTTTCCCACCCTCGTGATAGCTCAGGGCCGGGCAATGGTGAATGGTGTGCCTCCAGCCACCCAGCTCCTTCCTTCCTTCCCCAGCTTTTCCTTTTCCCTCTGGCGTCCCAGGCGCGCACAGAGGCAGAGCTGACCCTGGTTCCCGGTGTTCGGCCACGGTGTTTGCAGGGTCTGGGCCTCCCTTGAACCAAACAAAGCTGTCCAGCAGAATGCCCGTGGCCCCGCAGAAACACGCACCTTCCCGTCACCGAGCCCAGCCCGCAGGGCCCGGAGCCCGAGGCCCCTCCCTCCGAGCACAGCGGGAAGCCGCCCTCGGATCGGGCGCCCGCGCTGCCTCCGCTCCCCGCGGGGGGGGCTCGGAGGGCGCACCCAGCCCGGCTCCGCGCCTTTCCGGGGGGAGGGGGCCGCTTCACCCCAGAAAGCCTCTCCGCCGGCCCGAGGGACCGCGTGTGCGGGAGGCCCCTCCGCCCCTTTCCTCCCGGAGCCGCCGGCCGTCACGGCCGAGGCCCGACGACACGTCGCGGGTGCGAGCCTCACTGCGAGGCCGCTCGGGCCGCCCCGCCAGCCACAAAGGGCGCGCGCCCACCGGCTCCCGAGGCCCGCCGCCCGCCGCAGCCCGCCGTCCGCTCCCACTCGCCGCCACGCGCCCCGGGCCGCCGTGTCCGCTCCCACTCACCGCCACGCGCCCCGGGCCGGCCTCCGCTCCCACTCGCCGCCACGCGCCCCGGGCCGCCGTGTCCGCTCCCACTCACCGCCACGCGCCCCGGGCCGCCGTGTCCACTCCCACTCACCGCCACGCGCCCCGGGCCGGCCTCCGCTCCCACTCGCCGCCACGCGCCCCGGGCCGCCGTGTCCGCTCCCACTCGCCGCCACGCGCCCCGGGCCGCCGTGTCCACTCCCACTCGCCGCCGCCCGCCGCAGCCCGCCGTCCGCTCCCACTCACCGCCACACGCCCCGGGCCGGCCGTCCGCTCCCACTCGCCGCCACACGCCCCGGGCCGGCCGTCCGCTCCCACTCGCCGCCACACGGCCCGCGCCGCCGTGTCCGCGCAGCCGAGCGCCAGCGGTCGGCCCCTGAGCAGCGCAGCCCGGCTCAGCTCCCGGAAGCGCTCGGCGCCGGACGCGCTGCCCGCGGATTGGCTGCGGGCGGTGCCAATCCCACGTTCCCGGGGGAGGGGGCGGGACTAGGGCCACGCGCCTGCGCCCGTTCCCCCCCGTCCCTGCGCGCGCGCCGAGGCGAACCGGCGTCCTGGAGGCCGGCGCGGGCCGCGGGCGGACGTCGCCGGTGGCGGGCAGCGCCCACGTCGCGCGAGCCGGAAGGTAGTGTCGCGTGGCCCGCGGGCACTCCCCCGTGTGTTCTCTGGGCTCGGACCCCCGCCCTCAGCTCGCCTGGTCCGGCGCCAGCGCCCTCCCCCAGGCGCGACGCGTCGGGAGCGGGCGGACGGGCCGCGGGCGCGCGCACGGGGCCGCGCAGGGCCCGGCGGTCCGGGCTGGCGGTTAGATGGCAGCCGGGTCCGCCCTGGCTGGGGCGTGTGGGGGCCTGCGTGGCTGCCGGAGCCCCGGCGGCCTAGCGGGCGGCGCGGTGTGAGCTGCGTGGCGCCCGGCGAGCGGGCGGGGAGCTCCTCCCGGAGCCGCTTTCCCGCCGCCGCCGGGCCCCGGGGTGTCCCCGCCCACGGACCCCTCCGCCGCCGGGCCCCGGGGTGTCCCCGCCCAGGCTGGGAGGGGCGGGGGACGGGCGCGAAGCCTCGGTGTCCTCTGAGGACCGGAGGGAGGACCAAGGGGCTTTGGAGCCAAGATTTGAAGGAATTGCATGAGGGCAGCGCGCAAAGCCGGTCCTGTGCGTCCTGAGGGCGCTGTCCGCAGCACGTGGAAGGGGTGTGCGGAGTTCTCTCTCTCTCCCCTCTCTCCCCCCTCTCCCCTCTCTCTCTCTCCCCCTCCCTCCCTCTCTCTCTCTCTCTCTCTCTCTCTCTCTCTCTCTCTCTCTCTCTCTCTCTCTCTCCCTCTCTCCCCTCTCTCCCCCTCTCTCCCCTCTCTCTCTCCTCTCTCTCTCTCTCTACACATGCACACACACACACACACACACACACACACACCCTGCATTTCCGTTGGCTGGCCTGTGGGCCTGGAGAACGTGGGCTGAGGTTACACAGAGGCCCAGCTGTCAGGAAGCTGGCGCTTCACCTGGTTAGCAGTTGGAGATCTTTATAAAATTTCACGTAGGGAAGCAACATGACGACATTTAAGTTAGGGGCAGAACCCTATAGGACCTGTAGTATAGGTCAGTGGTCGGCAACTCATTAGTCAACAGAGCCAAATGTCAACAGGACAACGATTGACATTCCTTCTGAGAGCCGAAAACAGACTTCCGCGCATGGGCCTCGAGGTTCCGACCGCCCTGTTTGTGGGCGCCCGCACGTGGCATTTTGTGGAAGAGCCACACTCAAGGGGCCAACGAGCCGCAGGTGGCTCTCGAGCCGCAGTTTGCCGACCACAGGCATAGGTGCTAGAGACACGAGGCAAAATATCTACCAGGTGGCTATTGCAAAGTACGAGGGAGCGATTTGGAGGGGCTGGCCAGAGGCAGTAGCTGTAGCTGTAGGTTTAGAAAGGAGAGGCCTCCTTTGAGGAATATTTAGGTCGTAGGAGAGAGAGGACTTGGCAGGATGTGGAGAGTAAGGAGCGTTCCTAGGATGGCTGCACGGTTTCTCACCTTGTCTTGTGAGAGGAGGGGAGTGTGGGAGTCAGACATGCCCAGGTGCTCCGGTGTGCGCTGTCACTTGCTGTTTGTGTGATCGTAAACACGTTATTGCGCTTTTAAACCCAGTCTGACAGAGGAATGATATGTACGTGTGGTGGTTGTGAGGATTGAGTGGGGCTTTGTGTGGATAGAAGGTCAGTGAGAGGAAGGTGCTGAGGTCCCTGTGGGACATGTGCAGTGCGGGTGCTCCGGGTCATCTACCTGCCGGCATTTAGAAGGTGTTAGGGAACAGGCCCTGCTTAGCGTTCGGGACAGGCTGGTGAGGAGGCAGGTGCGTGCGGTAAGGGAGGGAGAAAACCGAGTGTGTCCGAACGAGGGGAGGCAGCGCTGACTTGCTGGAAGGTGTGAGCTGTGTCACGTTGGCTTGGGGAGCCCCTCGATTTGAATGTCTGAAGCCGAGTAGCGTAAAGGGTAGTTGCCTGATATGTCTGATTAGTTCTGATGAATAGTAATTCGTCGGGGCCGACCGGTAGACCCTGAACAATGGAAGAAGGATGACTGGCGCACACATCTGTGAGAGAGGCTACGGGGCTAGTTGGCATAAGGAGCCAAAAGCCCGGACTGCCTGCCTCCTTGGGCATTTGTTGTCACAACAGCTTGAACTAAAACTAACCTCTATACGTATATACCAGCACTTTAAATAAAAATTACCATTTGAAAGAGAGAAAAAAAAAATAAAAAAAAATAAAACTAACCTCTAGATACAATCAGCAGGGTAAGCATCCCTGAGAAAGCACCTGCATCTGTGGTGTCTTTCAAACAGGGATGTTTTGAATTCCAAACATAAAGATTCTGGTAAAACCCCAGGGCTCAGACTTGTTTGGAAAAGTCAGGCAGGGTGCCGCCTTAGGCAAGGTCCCCCAGAGACCTCTGGCCTTTCAGAGAATCCTACTGACAGACTTTCCAACCACGTCCCATGCTTCCCCACAGTGATTTCAGGAGGTCCGAACTCCAAAAGAGCTCAGTAATTTAAAGAGATTGTAGCTCACCAAAACATGTGGATGACTGATAGATGTCTGTGAGACGGCCATGAAAGCACATACGAGGAACTGACATCTGCATCCCAAAGTGACGCACCCCTGGTCATTCATGGCCGGGCAGACCACAGGGCACCATGTGCCATCTTCTTCAGTCATTGCCATTAGATTCCAGCTGATGCTCTGTCCTTCCTCCTATAAAATGGAAACGGTCATGACATCTATTCAGAGTGTTTTTAAGACATACCGTATTTTTCGGACCATAAGACGCTCCGGACCATAAGACGCACCAGTTTTTAGAGAAGGGAAATGAAGAAAAAAAGATTCTGAAACAAATAGTGTCCTAAAATATTTTATGTGCATTAAAACCCAACATCACAGTCATAAACACATGTAATCAACCCTGTAAACAGCAGCATTTAGAACCATTTTAGAGCCGGGCAAGCACACAGAGACCACACAGAGCCGGGCAAGTAAAAAAACTTTTTTTTCTTAAGTATATGTGTAGGCTATATTTGGACCATAAGACGCAGGGACTTTTCCCCCCCACTTCTGGGGGAAAAAAGTGCGTCTTATGGTCCGAAAAATACAGTAAGTTATTTAATTCTGTATGTGCTCATAGTAGATGTGGCATAGAGTGAGTCTCCATAAATGTGAGCTGCTAGTATTATTGATGTTGCTATTATTCTGTTAGGAATGCTCAAGTTTTTTCTCTTACAGCTTAAATTTTTATCTTCTAGGTACTCTACTAACAGCTAGAATGAAACAGTTACCTGCAGCAACGGTTCGCCTCCTTTCCAGTTCCCAGGTCATCACGTCAGTGGTCAGTGTTGTGAAAGAGCTCGTTGAAAACTCCTTGGATGCAGGGGCCACAAGCATAGATGTTAAACTGGTGAGTGTCCAGAGAAGCCAGTACCTTTAAAGCAATAAGGGGACAGGTATTTTCTCCTTATAGCTATTACCTTTTCGGTAGGGGTGTCGAACTCAATCAGAGAAGGGGCCAAAATCTAAAATCCAGCCTAAATCGCGGGCCTAATGGTTTACTGAACAGTCATAAACTGTCATTGTGATGGAAACGCAGCGGAGTGCAGTGATGACAGCGCAGTGCGGGCCACATTGCAAGGCCTGGCGGGACGGATTTGGCCCGCGGGCCTTGTGTTTGACACATGTGCTTTAAAGCAATAAGGGGACAGGTATTTTCTCCTTATAGCTATTACCTTTTCGGTAAACTATTCATAGGACGTTGAATCCTTTGTCTTGTTTAAGAATAAATTCTTAAAAATAAATTGTGATCTAAATCAACATTAGTAACATTAAAGGACATTATTAAAAATAACAAAAATTTCATATTTAGGACTGCATTACACGAATTTAATTTGTATTGGGTCGGCAAGTAAGTAATTGCGGATTTTTTAAAGAAAATCAAAGACAATTTTTTCATGGAACTAAATAACTTTATTCTGTAATGTATTGCCCATTTTGATCAATGACCTCTTGCCATCTTTCAGGCAGCATCATAATCCCACGTTCAAAAAACTTCTGGTTTTTATTAGCAAAAAACTGAATCAGGTACGATTTGACATCATCATCATTATTGAAATTTTTACCATTCAAGGAGTTTTGTAAAGATCGAAACAAAAAGTAATCAGATGGTGCAAGGTCAGGACTATATGGTGGATGTGGCAAAACATCCCAACCAAGCTCCATTAATTTTTGCCGAGTGACCAAAGATGTGTGTGGCCTTGCATTGTCATGATGGAATACAACACCTTTTCGATTTGTCAATTCGGGCCGCTTTTCTTCAACTGCATTGTTTAATTTCGTTAGTTGTTCAATGTAGACATCAGAATTGATCGTTCGGTTGGGTGGTAAGAGTTCAAAGTAGACAATTCCTTTGTAATCCCACCAAACTGATAACAAAACCTTCTTTTGATGAATATCAGCTTTTGATGTTGTTTGAGTTGGTTCACCTGGCCTGCTCCACGATCTTTTCCGCTTGATATTGTTGTAAACAACCCATTTTTCATCGCCAGTTATCAGTCGTTTTAAAAATGGATCATTTTCATTACGTTTCTTTAGCAAATCGCAGCTGCTAATGCGTTGCGTTAACTGTGATTCTTTCAGTTCGTGAGGAACCCATGTATCGAGTTTTGGAACATAGCCAAGTTGTTTTAAGTGATTTTCAATGCATGTATGTGATACATGAAGCTTCTCTGCAATCTCACGTGTTGTACTGTGACAGTCCGAATTGATTATTGCTTTGATTAGGGCGTCATCAACTTCAACTGGACGACCAGAGCGTTTTTCATCTTTGAGTGAAAAATCACCAGAACGAAATTTGGCAAACCAATTTTGACACTGCCGTTCTTTTAAGGCTTCGTCACCATAAACAGCACATAACTTTTTATGAGCTTGCAATGCATTTTTCCCTTTGTGGAAATAAAAAAGCAAAATATGACGAAAATGTTCCTTTTGATTTTCCATTTTTCAACGAACGCCAAACGAAAACTACAAAACAGATCAAAAAACTTTTTTTACTGATTAACAGCTGAATAGCCAACTATCAAATAACAAAATGTGTTTTACATTTGTACTACGTCTGCAAACCTAAAAATTCAACTGAAGCCATATATGTGCGAAACCCGCAATTACTTACTTGCCGGCCCAATATTTTCTACTAATAATTTATTCTAGGTTATTGATATATGCTATACTTATTTACATATTCTTATTTGCATTTAAAATATATATTTTATTGATTTTTTAAAGAGAGGAAGGGGGAGAGATAGTTAGAAACATCAGTGAGAGAGAAACATCGATCAGCTGCCTCTTGCACACCCCCCACTGGGGATGTGCCCGCAACCAAGGTACATGCCCTTGACCAGAATCGAACCCGAGACCCTTGAGTCTGCAGGCCGACGCTCTATCCACTGAGCCAAACCGGTTAGGGCTGTATTTTATTTTTCACCTAATCTAATTTCAAAACTATTTCCTTTGTTGCTTCATGGTTTTCATATTTTTTAATTTAAGTGCTCTATATTAATTTGAGTTAACATGACAGGACACTCATGATTAATTAATATAGTTATTTTGAATGTCTACCTCTCCTGTTATAAATTACTAGCTCATAGGACTATATATATATATATTTTTTTTTTTTTTTCCCCCTCCCATTTTTTGTGTCCCTCTACCTGGCCAGTCCTGCTAAATAAAAGGTGAGTAAATGCTATATAAATAGTGCATAGATGATGAATAAAATTTTGTTTGAGTGAATGAATACATTTTTATAGTTTCCTAATTATCAGATATTTACATTATTTCTACTATTACAGTATTAGAAGTAATACTGGTACTAATATCTTTGTAGGAAAGAAACCTACCTTTTTCTTGTGTGTAATTATCTATATATATAAAAGCCCAGTGTCTGGACTGGTGGAATGATCAAATGACCCGTGGCTGTGAGGTGCACTGTGCAGCCAACTAGCATGATCTCGTCCCCAATCGGACTGGATTCAGTCTTGATTAACCCTTAGGCAAATGTCCACAGGTGTGGTGAGAGTTTTTCCAATAGGGTGGGGCAATTGCTTCTGCCTGGAGGCTAATTGTTATTTTCAGTCTCTTAATGGATCTCTGAAACTCCATTCCTAGGGGCAAAGTGTATTACAATAGGGTAAATCAGCTGTCTTCTCCCCAGGCAAAATCACCCATATTTATACAGTTTTGGAAAACAGTTTTTCAAAGTCATGTTACCCAAGAGAGAGGGAGATCAATGGGCAAAAAAAGGAGACATATATAATACTATTGATACCAGAGTTATTATAAATGTAGGAAGATTTTTTTTTCCCCTTTAAAACTTGCATCTATGGCCATACACATAAAACTTTGTGAAGTCAAGTTTATCTTAGAAGTTTAGTACAAAATTTAGATTGTAGCATTCATAGAAAGTGTGATCACTTTAGCAATTTAGATTTTTTTTGTTATGTATACGTATTTTTAGTATTAGCTAACAGTGCTAAGCTATGAATTGAGAGTTTTTTCCCCTTGATTTTTCAAATTAAAAACTCACTGAGATTTTCTTTAGGTGTGTTTTCTTAGCAGTTTCCTGTTAGGTAACTATGCAGAAAGAAATTTAAAGTTGTAGTGTAAATATTTAAACAACTTCTTTTTAAAAAAAAAATATATTTTATTGATTTTACACAGAGAGGAATTGAGAGGGACAGAGAGTTAGAAACGTCAATGAGAGAGAAACATCGACCAGCTGCCTCTTGCACACCCCCCCACTGGGGATGTGCCGGCAACCAAGGTACATGCCCTTGACCGAAATCGAACCCGGGACCTTTCAGTCCGCAGGCCGACACTCTATCCACTGAGCCAAACCGGTCCCGGCATATTTAAACTTTTATTGAAACGAGTAAAGGGATAAAGTATTAAAAATCAGGCTGAATAATGATAATTGCTAGTCTCTTGGTAGGTGTTGTTTTTGATGGTTATCGTATTTTGTTTGAGAGTTTACATGTACAAAGGTATTGGTAATTGAGAAGAATTTTCTTTAGTCAAGTTTAAACACAAATTTAAACATAAATACCTATGACACTGAGACAATTCAAGGGAACCTTAAAGATCAGACTGATTTTTCTGATTTTACAGTTGAATCTGAGTCCTGGGAAAATGAGGGACTTGCCCATTGTACCATAACTAGGAGCTAGTAAACGTAAGGAATTAAACTCTTACTTTCTTAAGACTAAGTTTCCCTGAGAGGTAAATAAATGACAATGTTATTTCACTTATGTTTCTCTTTATAAATGTTGTAACAGTTTAATGTCTTTATGTACTAAAAGTATTTTTAACTTTGTATAGGAGAACTATGGGTTTGATAAAATTGAAGTGAGAGACAATGGTGACGGTATCAAGGCCTCTGATGCACCGGTAATGGCGGTGAAGTACTACACCTCAAAAATAAATAGCCATGAAGATCTTGAAAATTTGACAACTTATGGTTTTCGTGGTGAAGCCTTGGGATCAATTTGTTGTGTAGCTGAGGTAAGGTAATTTATACTACTTTAGTGATTTTATAATTACAGAATATTGGAAGTGAGACAGAACTAAGCCAGCAAGTGGTGTGTGTGTAAAGGGCCCCAGCTAGGTACTCATTTATTATTTTTCTGAGGGCTCTCTGTAAAGTGATGCCTCAGAAGGAAAAATTGTGGAGCAGTGGTTCCCAGTGTGGGGCCCATGCCCCACAGGGGGGCAATTTGAATTTTAGGGGGGCAATTCAAGAATGAGTTACTAGTGAATTTTTGGCATTTCTTAAGGTCCTAGGGGCCTCATATTAATATATATTGTGACATAATTATGCATTTCAGTTCTCTGTTATATGTTTTAAAACTTTGACGTTTTTCATATCACTTCATATTATTATTATTATTTAAACAATTTCTTAGTGATTTCTTCAGTCCTTCAACTGTCCTTTCGTTCTTTTATTTTTCTCTTTCATGGTGCCGTGTTCTTTGAAAGCTTGTTTAGAGCAAGTTCATGGCCTTTTAGGCCTCCTTCCTGTGACTAGGAGCTCACTTTTTGAATAAGAATTGTATGACACAGGGGGACACTGGGATTTTAGAGATGCTTAGGTGGGGCATGGCCAAAAAAAGTTGGGAACCTCTGAGGTGGAGTTTAGAGTGGCCGACATTGTTGTTTAGCCTAGAGGACTATGAGTGACCCCTTGCTTGGAAGCCAGGTGTTCAGACATCACTAACGGAGGGAAGACCTTGTCATTCCTTAAATGCACCCTGCTTAAAACATCTATCCCGAAACCAGCACAGCCCATAGCCCATGCTTCTGTTATTTTTCTCAGCACTTATTTACTTAAAGTTCCCTGAGTCTCCAAAGAGTAGGGAAGAGGAACTTACAATTGGCATTGCCCTTCATTTTCCCCAGAGACTGTATATGGGAACCCAGAGCCCTAGGATCTTGCAGAAAACCGTATAAAGTGGGATGGGATTTGTACCAGGGAACTTCTGAAGCTCCCAGTACTACTACTATTGTTTAAGCTCTCAGTGGCTATTTTAGAAATCATAATTTGTTTGATAACGTAAGTATTTGATTTTTTTTAGCTGTTGTCCAAATTTTGCAGGTAGTCTTTAAGCTTTATTTTAGTAGAGTATTGTTGTAAAATATATAATTTAGTATTTCATTATTTTTTTGAGATGTACATAACCTTGCAGAACGGAAATCAGTCATTATTCGCTTTGTCTGCTAGGTGGCAGCACTATACTTACACATAGGCCATATGGTTTATCTTCATCTACACTGTAGCTCTGATTTTAGATGGCTGTTTTGCAAGCCCTTATCCAGTAGCACTCTCTGTGGTTTTTTTTCTCTTTGACTACTTGAACCTACTTGATACCTGTTTATCATTTTGTCTTTTGTTTCATTTTTTGAGGCATTTGAATGCCTTGAATATAAATACTTAAATAAATTTGTTCAACAGAATTACAAAAGGAGTAAAAGAATTGTCAAAGTATCACAGTAATATAAAATTATACACTTACATACATGCACACACACATCACAATGAATTTTTACATATGTGTCCTCCAGATCCAGATTTAGACCATTGTCAGCACTCCTGAAAGTTCTTTAATGCCCCCTCCCGGGCTGCACTCCTCAAAGTAATCGCTATTCTCACCTGTATCAACATAGTCCTACCTATTTTTTAACTTGATCTAAATGAAATCTTATAATATGTATTATTTTCGCCACAGATTTGTTGTTGTTGTGCCTGAAAGCCAAAGGAAATACAGAACTGTGGTGGTGGTAGTAATAGACCTTTAGGTATTACTGGGTGGTAGTAATATCTAGTCACTGCCCAGACACCCCGTCAGGAGAGCACGGGTTCTCCCAGCTCCCGAGAGCACTGGTGACGGAGTGCTCACAGCAGTTTCCCTCTGAGGCTGCCCTCCCCTCAGTGGGAGAGAGTTTCCCAAACATGCAGGGCACCTGCGTCAGTGATTGGGGGATGGGCTGTAAAGACCCCATTTCAGCTACACTGCACCCACCATGCTGTCTGCTCCGGAGTGCTCGCGGGCCCCATCAAGGCCAGTGCCTGGGGCCCAGTCCCACTTCTCTTTCTGCACTGGCCCCACGGAAGATCCTCCTGGGAGCACTCCTATCAATGTCCTTCTCACTAGCTTCCACCTCAGTCTGCTTCATGTGGAAGCCACCCTGCAGTGAGGTTTTATGGTCCATCCCTAATCCTGATAAGGAAATGGGTCTTGTGAAGACCAAATGCCAGTTCCCACCAGTCTAATAACTGTCAGCTACCTTCATTGTCTGAATGCTGCATGCCGTGCAAAGAAGTTTACTTCAGAGGAGCTGTGCATAGAGGAGCAAGTGGACATGAAAGTTGCAGCCTCTTTAGGAATACGTAGTGTGTTGATGGTGAAACCAGTAATTTAGTTCCAATATCATGCTTCCCAGTGCTGCGTTTTCTACAGTAGGTCATGCTGCCTTCTTATTAGGGTGGTTAAAAAGGCATTTCTAAGTGAAAAAGTATCTCATCTATTCTAATAAAAGGATAAAATGCTAATTAGACCAGATAGGCTGGACATCCTTCCAGATGTCCTTCCGGACAAAGCCACGGTGGTAGGGCCGAAGTAGAGGCGGTTAGGGGCAATCAGGCCGACAGGGGAGAGCAGTTAGGGACAATCAGGCAGGCAGGCAGATTGCTTAGGGGTGATCAGGCAGGCAGGCCGGCAGGCCGGCAGGCCAGTGGTTAGGATCAGCCATTCTTGATCGTGAGAGGGTGCAGGCCAGGCTGACGGATACGCCCCCTCACCCCTTTCCCACCTCCCGCCCGCACAAATTCCGGGCATCTAGTATTTAAATAATAAATATCCCAGGCCTGCAGTGGTAAGCTCAAAAGATAGGTTATCAAGAAGAAGTTAAGTTGAAACTTAACCTGGGAATGTTCTGAATAGTGTTTTAGAAATTTCAGAAATACAGAAAACAATAGATGCTTGTTAAGGTCAATTACATTTAAAAATAATGAAGTTATTCAGGAAGACTTAATGATTGCTTTTGTGGGGGGATTCGCTTCTTAAATTTAATGAATATTTTTCACTCAGAATTCAATTTCATTAATAGAAGTTGCATATTTATTTTAAGGCTCCAATTTATTTTGAAAAATTTTGGATAGAGATTGCAGTTATTATATTATTATATTATATTATTGCAGAAATTATAGATTTTGTTATTTTATCTGTCAAACTAACAGATGCAGATAATTTTAAAGTCATATAGTTGTAAATGATCTCAGGCTCAGTAGATTGATAATACAGGGTGGGGCAAAAATAGGTTTACAGTTGTGAGTATGTGAGAGTTTATTCTTGTATTATTATTTATTAATTACTGTTATTTTCCATATGAACTATAAAATTACTTTTGCCCATCCTGTATGTAATTAAGTTAATGTTTTGCACAATATTAAACAGCTATTTCCCAAAACTCCAGTTATTGAAATTATTTTTTGTTAGATTATTTTAAAGTTGTTAATAATTTTAGTCCTGGCCAGGTGGCTCAATTGGTTGGAGCCTTGTCCTGTACACCAAAAAGACAGTTGATTCGATTCCCGGTCAGGAAATCATACCTAGGCTGTGAGTTCGATTTCTGGTTGGGGCATGTACAGGAGGCAACCGATTGATGTTTCTCCCTTTCTTCACTGTTTCTCTCTTTTTCTCTTGTCCTCTCCCCCCTTCTCTCTTTCCTCACCCTTCTTCTCTTCTTTCTCTAAAATCAATAAACATATCCTTGGGTGAGAATAAAAAATAAAAATAATACGTTAATTTTAGTTATAGAAAGAAAAAAGTATACTTTCAGCAAAATTGTCTGGAGAAATTTAAAATGCATCTAATTTTATATTCTTTATGCACTGTAAAAGAATGAGCATTTTTTTTAGTTTATCAATAATAAAATGACTTTCACTCTTAGAATTAAATAGTCCAAAGGAGTAAAACATTCTCTTTATATCTACAAAATATCCTATTGGTATTTTCAAATGTATTACTAACTCCATAACCATTAATGTATCAGTGACTGGCACAAATTGTCTGATAATGATTTTCTTTAAAGGATATCAAGCATAACTTCTCTTGAAATACATTATTGTTTGTAGAGTAGTAATTTTGGTATATTTGTCATTTTTCTTTTTTCTTTTTTTAAAAAATATTTTATTGATTTTTTACAGAGAGGAAGAGAGAGGGAAAGAGAGTTAGAAACATCTATGAGAGAGAATCATTCATCAGCTGCCTCTTGCACACCCCCTACTGGGGATGTGCCCGCAACCAAGGTACATGCCCTTGACTGGAATCGAACCCAGGACCTTTCAGTCCACAGGCTGACGCTCTATCCACTGAGCCAAACCGGTTTCGGCTATTTGTCATTTTTCTATGTTAAATTTCTGGTCCTAATTACTAAGCATATCAAATAGAATGAGCTAGAGAATGAAAATTCTGTTTTGACCTGTTCATACAATTTTTATGAAGACTGTATATATTATTCCTGTAACATAATAAAACATAAGTATTTATTTCTTTATAAGTAGATATTTTACATACATTATATTAAAAATGATCTTTTTTCCTCCAAAGAAATGTTTAAGAAACTCATACAAGTTGTTTTTGTTTTTTTAAACTGGATTTTAAAATGGAGGCTAAATTATACCTCAGTTTTAAAAAGACTACAGAACAGTTTTGTTTTCTTAAAATCAGAACAAACTCTGAACTAGGAATCAGAAACCTAATTCTCTCTTTTTTTAAAAAAATTTTTATTGATGAAGGTATCATATATTTGTCCTCAATCCCCCACCCCTCCAAAAACCTAATTCTCATTCCCAAGTGTTTGAATAAGAGACTTGGTTGGCCAAAGGCATAAAACAGGTTACCTTTTCTGGGTGCCTTTTTATTTTTTTAATCTATAAAGTGATAATAATTTGAGGGTCAAAGGAAATAATGCGTATTAAAGTGTCTTGCATATTGTCATATGCC